GTACACAAAACAGTAAATTTAATTTTCATGACAACTAACAGTTATGAGTCACAAACCTGCACATGTGATACTTAAAAAGTACTTAAGGAATACAAAACCACACCTTACCAAGAATACCAGCCTGTAAGCACTGACCCTGGCTGTGGCTGTCTTAGATATCTATAGAGTGGTTTTAATACAAACCTAGAGTCACAAAAAATGCCCATGGCCACACCCCTGTCTGATTAAATAGGCCAACTCTACTGGAACATTCTAAAAGGAAGTACAAGAGTAAAGCCAAAAGTGATATTTAGAAGTGAATCAAACAAAGCATGAAAGGAGTAACGATGAGCTATGGTTAAAATCACTGAATAGAAAAACTCAACGTATTTTCCCCTGAGAACACACAGATGCACAAACAAAAACAATGCACTGATCGAAGAACCAAGTTTTGATTTATTCCTGAATTTCTGTCATCTGTCAAGGAGACTTTTTTGTTTGTTGCTGCAGATCCTACATGAACAGTGCTGATACTGGACTTCATGAAACCTTAGCTTTGAGACAACCACAGTCAATGCAGCTGCTTCCTCCTCCACATTTTGAAGATTAAAGGTAATAGAAGTAGAACGCAAAAAAAGATTCATGGCTCAGAAACTGAAGTCGTACTGGGATGGTAAAAACTATACACCAGAGGAAAAAGTATAAATCCGAGCTGTGTAAAAAAACTTCTCCCCCTTGAATACTGTCTTTGCTATAGTGGAAATGGGACAAAAGGAAAATGGACTCAAGAAGAAAGGGGAATCTAGAGCAGAATAGTCAGTCTGTTCCCCTCTGGGCTTATAAAGAGCAGACCTGAATCAAAATACGTGGAAGTCCTTCGGAAAAAGATACTCTTATCAGGTTACAAATATAGGAGCTTTGAGAACACCACTATTTTCCTAAGGGGAATGAAAAGAAAGTCTTGAAAAGGTGCCAAAAGTCACAAAAGTAATTTTGATTCAATATGATTATTGATGAAATCTCTGTAGCAATAGCCCCAACATAGTAAGCTAAGCTCTTCATTTTGGTTTCAGAAGAAATTACCAGAGCCATTTTTGCAGCCTTGATCTACCAGCTCAGGCTGAGAGACAGAAAAAAACCAAACCCAACATGCTTGTGTCCCTGTCTAAAGGGAGAAGGCTCGAGGTGTCCCTTTGCATTACAGTGGATTAACATAAAGAGATGGACAAGGTCCTTCTGTTACTGGCTGGACAAGGTCAAATGCAGCAGGGCTGAGGAGTCCAGTGCTATTGCATTAGTATTAATACAACTGTAATAGGTCTGTAAAGGGATTTTAATCAGTGTCTCAAAGATACTTGAGGAGTAAATCTGATTAATCAGTGGTTCTATGTTGGCCCTTTTTTCTAGATCCTGCATAGAACACATTCACTTGAGAAAAACAAGAGTAATTTCCTTATACAATATTACTATGGAGTCTTAGGACTGCTGGATGTCAAAGTTACAAAGATACATGGTTTCCCTGTTCCCATTTTTAATTCCAGTTCAGCTTAGAGAATCTTGAGAATCTGCTGTTAAACGGTTGTTGCCATTCTGTAACGACGACTTTCATATAGCAGTGGCCAGGAAGGACAGTTTTGCTTTACGTCTGGGTAGACTTGACATTTGCTCAAAATCCTTGCTTGATCTTTGGATGCAATATAATGCCAAAAAACTCACTGAATCCACATTCTGGTTATGCACCTGTTCTCCATAAAATTGGATAAGTCTGTTCTCTTTGTAAGTCACCACTTCGAAAAATCATGAAATATTTAGAAAGAATTGCTGAGCACTAAAATAGCATATGGTAAAGAGACATCCTGGATATTTTATCCAAGGTACAAGACAGGCCCTGGGCAAGATTTGTGGGATTTTTGCCACAATGACCAGATGAGTCTTCATCATTCTGGTAGAATACGGCAGCTTAAGCAGATCATTAGAGGGGTAATAAAGGCCTTTTTTGCTGACTACTTTTCAGGATGCAAATAGTGGTTTGGGAGGTGCAATTAAATATGAAAAATATTTCTGGAACACAAAGATGGATAATCGTGCGTGGACAAGTTTTCTGATTTAATTTCCAACAATAGCCACCATCCAAGTTTGCCAAGAGCAGCCTTTATCAGGTCGTACATCAGGGGAATAGAACTATATTTCTGAAAGAAGAATTTAGTGATTTTTGCAATACGAGAACAATTAAAATTCTGCAATGGCTGTACTACATTCCTAATGTTCTTTGGTTTGTGTCAAACAAATGGCACTGAGATGAATGATTTTCAGATTTTCTTTGGTCAGTCGACAGTGTAGAAATGGTTAATTGATTAATTGATTCTTTAAGAATCTTTGCTTTCTTTAATCCTCCTTGCCCTCAAACAGCAAGCTTTTAGCTATCTGTTGTTATGGGCTGCAAAGGCCAGCAGCTCTGCTGTACTCTTACAGCTCTCAGGTACAGCTGTGACTGAGCCGAGGTGATATGTTAGTGTCTCTAGGTGTTACACAGAAGTATCTATGAAGTGTGTCACAAATTATACTGTAATTCTGATGTGCGAATATGGCCCTTCAAGTGCTGCAAAATATCACTGGACTATGGGTTGACACATCACATGCCATGGACAACCCTCAGGTCAATATGAGATGATAAGTTGTCACAGCACTGGCAGGATCTACAGCCACAATGAAAAATCTTTCTCAATAGGTAAATTTTTATTTGACTTATTAGGTGCTCTTGTCTTTTCCACCTTCCTTCCAATCAGACCAAAAATTTGTATGTCTTTGCCAGTCTTCATACCTCTAACTGAATTTCATTTACCACCTTCAAAATGTATACAATGATAACTACATAAAAAACACATGCAACTGAACTTGTGCTGTGATGAGAATCAACATCTTTAGTATTAATAATGTTGGTTTTGATGCATGTAATACACCAAAAATCGTTCTTTCTTCCCCTTGTAACAAAAGCACGTTTTGAAATTTTGGAATTTTCCCCAGGACAGAAACTTTGTTTTCCACAAGCTCTAATCCATGGTGAGACAGTACTGGTCTGGGGTACAGCAGCTGTTATATATGGTCAAGAAAGAATACAAAGCAGAATGCTTAGTAAATGCTCTGGGAATATAAAATGGGAGCTTTACTAACAGCAAAGGACTGGGGTTTATATTATCTCCTGTGAGAAAACTTACACCAGCTTTTTGACAATAATTTATGGTCATGGATGTGAATTCAAATTTATTCATAGGCCAAGATTTTTAAAAACTACAAATCTTATCTGTAAAGTTCAAACAGAAAACTCAATTAATCAGCATGTGAGGAATACATCCGTTCAGTTTCCCAAATAGCTGTGTCACTCAGTCACACTCTAATAAAGGCTACTGTCTGTTCAAATGAGGTTCCATTTATACTAATATTTAGAAATGGCTCACACTTTAGAGACTGATATTTCTAGCAGCACTCAGATTCAGGATATGAGGAATACAGTGCAAGAAAGATGCTATTCATTATTTCTTAGTCATCAGTTGTAAGCGCCAATTACAAAAATGTTTGTCAAACATAGCTGAGAAACAAACAAACACAAATTGACCTGTGATTAGTCAAACATCATAAATAACAAGCGCCAAATAAGCGATGTGAAAGTTTACAAACATCCTATGGTATTTGTTTCCACTCATTAGGCATCAGATTCATTAACAAAAGCCAGAGGGATCATTTGTGCAACCCAGAAACACCAGGAACAGAAAAAGCAGCTAAGTATATTCAGTTGTGTTACTGAGCGATGGCCTACAGTTTTGAGGGACTGGACTGGGACCCCGAAAACTCTCTCTTGTACTTGTCCTGCTGGATGACTCTGAGTATGTGATCTCCTCTCAGTTGGGATTCATTACTTTAGCTTAAGGCAGGGATAATTATACTGACTTTCTTTGTAAAGTACTCAGAAACAGGCAGATGGAAAGCATGTAGCTGTAAAGAGGCAGAGGAGGAAGGACAAAAAGTACTCATCCCTGTTGCGTCACGTTAGATGCTGGTTAGAACCAGGTTGTTCAGCCTGCATGTGCTATGCCCACCCATTCAATATTTCTACACCACTGCAATCTCATAGGCTTTTGTATTCCTCACAGACCATGCAAATATTAGTTATGGTAAATTATTAAATCAGGCAACATTTCCTTTCTGCACCTCTTGTAACAGAATGGTCTTCAGATACGGAGGACAAGTATAACTTGTGCGCCAACTGCATAGAGTTTAAGTTTTTGAAGCGTGACTTAAAGAGGCCTTAAGCAATTGCTCTGCCTCAGGTGGTGAATTTCACCTTTAGAAAATAGATTGAAGGAAGAATACAATCCTCTTTGCTGCATTCCAACTTTTATTTTGTGTGTGAACTGGAAATTTATCCATTATACCGATTTACTCTGTCACCTGCTAATCAAACTTGAGGAGGTACAACTCCTATCAGCACTCAGCCTGGAAATCAGATACTACTACAAAAACTCACTATGTTTTGCATGGAAACATCTAGCCCTAACACGGTTAACACTTGATAACAATCTTGTCAAACTTTATACACCTGTAAACAGAGTTTACCGTGAAAAATTTTGCCATTATGCTACTATTTATATCCCATAAGCATAATTTACAGTGATATGCATAGCAATGATGGTGACACTGACAAGAGCACTCCACAGAAGCACAGATGTTGAGATGTTCTTATGCAATCTGTATTGCTGTTTATATCTACATAAACTCAGCCGAATAATGTTACCACACTTACCATAAAATAAAGACAAATATCCATATTTTAAATGCAAAGATGAGCCATTATATCTGCAGTTTCATAGCAAAAAAAAATCTCAAATCACATCACACTTTCATAGAATAATGTCTCCAAGTAGACAGAATTCTCTAAATTCGCTTGGGGTGGCTACAAAGTTACCAAGTTCCAATTTAGTTTGCTTTCTACCCAGAACTAGGTGGAAGAAAATCAGCCAACTTACGATCTCCTTGACAACGCACGGGACCCACAGATATTTTGGCTTCAGACCCAGGCCGGTCAACATCTCCAACCACTACTTGACTCACTGGTAGGTGCTCTTTGTATGACAACATCCCAGTGTCTTTTCTCCTGAATTGCAGAGAGCGAGAGAAAAAAAAAAAGCAATTGTGACATATATTAAAATAATTTCCTTGATCATTATCATTGTGCAATGACCTAAGCACCAGAAGAATAGGTACACAACAATTGCACCAGTACAGTGCTACTGTCTGAAAATCTGCCTCAAATGACATCAGTGTGAGCAATAACGCTGCCCGTTTACTGGAAAACAGATGGATGGCAGCTACTGTCACCCAGAAACACAGTCAGAGTAGCAGCTTGCTTTGTGGCCAGTCCTGGATTCAGCTGGGCTTGTGTGGGTCTCCTTGCTTTCCAGTCTGACCAGCTCTGTACTATCGGGTAACACTTTGTTGTTGATCTCCTTGCTGATGTCTTCTGAGAGGGAAGAAAATCCTAAGGCTTCTTAGAAGTTTATCTTTTTTGCTGTAGTTGCTGCCAGTTATTGTCATAACGATATGACATCTGCATACCAAGGAAACAGTGCTTCTTTTATATGTAACATTTTTAGTATTAAAAAAAAAGAAGTTAAAGTCTAATTAAGCCTAATAAGGCTTGTCATCTTAGTCCTGTCATTTCTCATACTTAGTCCCTAAACCCAAAAAATCTAAACTTGTAAATCTACCACAAGTATGCAGCTCAAAACCCATTTTAGTTAGTAAGATGACTAAAATTCAATTTATAGTCATATCTAAAAGCTCATTTCAACTGCAGTGAGTAAGCTGGTGCCTTTTGCACGCCTAGACCAAATCACTATGCACAGTTACAATATTTTTCCTTTATCATTTCAAGAGCTGAATCCAGCTGGCATGTTAAGTGCTGTTTCTTCCAAACATAAAATAAAATAGACCAAATTTAATTAGGTACCTTATCTCTCAGGTGCTTTTCCTTTTCTTTTTAATTTTGTTTGACATAAACACATGGAAGACCAAAAATATATGGACTATACATAGTGTTAGGACTATACTTTTTGACACAAAAGAAAGTAAGAGAAAGCAAAATAAATCCATTTATTTCTCTCTCTTTTTTTCTCTCTTTAGCTGTACCCTGCGATGTGATTGAGTATCTAAAGTAAGCAACTTTTTGATCTAAAAATCAATTCCTTTGTTCAAAAATACCGTAGGATGAAGGATGTATTCAGGATCTGGAAAAGTTACTGAACTGCACCGTATGACTATAACTGGAAACTTGTAAGGATTCCAGGAAACTGAAAGTCTTTTTCATCTCTAACTTGGACGATTCCATGATCTGACTCATTAGATTGTTAACAACTGGGAAGCATAGCAGGGATCTGCATGATCTCTGGTAATGCTTGGAGTTTTCCAGTGTTTTCCAGTAGTGTCTCCAGTCATCATCCTCACTGGGTCCTTCTGAAGAGATGGAAGGCAATGCATTCTTTTTAAAAGAATCACAACTAAAGTAATGAATAAATAACTGTCACGTTTTCAAATGACAGTTCATTGGAACTCGCGTCTCTTTTCTGTGATGAAGAGAGTAATGAAAGACACAGTTACTAGAGTTTTCCAAATAGTAGATGACTGTTTTCCTTAATCTGTATGTTATTCCCCTTCAGAGTGCTTGCCTTTCTCAGTGGGCCCTTTGTATTGCTGAGATCATTCACCCTCTGTGGTTAGACACAGCTATACCAGGTGCTATGTTGGTGAGGCTGCTACAGGGGGACTGCTAGAGAGGGAGGAAAATGGAGATGAGTAACCCTCACAGGGTGCTTCTGCAGATTGTGCAAGGTTGTAGCATGCTGCTTTTCATCCACAGATTGCAATGCCCTTTACAAAGGTATCATATTCATCAATTTGGAGACAGGCAACATAAGAAAAGGGAGATTAAAGGACTTTTCCTTTAAGAAAGAAAAGAGTGAATAACAAAGCCAGGTATGTAGACCTAATCTTCCATCTCTGCTACAGACCTGTATCCATGGGACCCACTCCCTTCTAATAGAGGATAAATGTAGGTCATCACTTTACTCTTTCTGAGATTTTCCTCTGAGACTGGCTCTCTCTGCTGATTGTTACTCTTTCAAAGAATGCTTTAAAGACAGACCTGTCTATTTAAAATAAAGAATTCTTCAAAGAGTGGGAAAACCAAAACTATTGGCATTTCTCTTCTTTCCTTTCCCTCTCACAAAAAGAGCTAATATTTCAGCTCCAAATAAGGATGTCAAAGGGGAGCCCTTTTCCTGTCACCAAGAGCTTTCACCTCCTTTAAAGGGAATAAAAAGAAGCAGTAACAATTTTCTCCCGCTTTACTGATCATGATTCTACTCATTTTAATATTTTATTTATGCATTTAGTGATATGGTCACTTTAAAGCTGTTGCCATGACAATAAAACTAAATGTTAAGAGTTCTTTTCAGAAATAGCTTATTATTTTCTGACAATCGCTTACTTGTCTCATCTTTGTAGGGAATGCATTCTCCCCTGCACAGAAGCTATCGAGGGCTAGGAGTACTGGACTAAGAGTTGAGAGGAGGGCATCGTCTTTTCTCCAGCACAACCTGCGTAGCTCGTTTGGTCTTAACAAAAAAAGGATAACAATAGCTTTTGGCCCACCCATGCACCAAAAAGACAAACACACTCAAGGGACAGAGTGGTTCTGTTATGGTTTTCTAAAGTACTTGTATTTCCTTAGGACATACTAATCAGCGCTGACAAAGTCAAAAAAGTTGTAAACCAAGGACTGATTATAATGCTTGACTTTGTACTGCACACTTAGAAATAATCACAGCTGGAATGCTTAATTCCTGCAAGTGATAATGCTTCTGCCGGTATTTAAAGACTTTGCACATTAAGAGGGTGGAGAAAGTCTCTGATGTTTTTCCTCACCAAAGAAAATCCCCTTAAGAGAAAAAAGATTGAATTCAGAGTGTGTCATATTCCTATTAATAGCCAAATGGGAGATGAATGAATCTGATCAAATCCTGTAATTATTACCAGGAGATATTGATGAAATCTCAGTGTAATTTTCTATTTCTAATTTCTTTTCCTATATATAATAGTCCGCAAAGTGCTTCAGGGTGCCTTTGAATGAAAGCAGCAGATATTAGCGTAAGATTTATCATTGTTTTGATTATGATCATCTACTTACTCTTTATAAGCATTCTGTGATATGTAAAAAAAAAATGCATTATGCACATATCAGCAAATGACATATTCAAAGTAATGATAAGATTCTGTATCAGTATTAATTTGTTTATATATAATAATATAATGATCTCATACAACCAGACTTCTGTTATTGAGGTAATTTATTTTCCCCAATTTTACTAGACATCACTTAATTTTCAGTCCAGTCCTACACAGGAAAACACACAAACAATGTACTACAGGTAGGAATGGACTTAATTTTAAAATATATGTTTACATGAGCTGAGGAACTGGAATCTTTTCGAGAATACAAATAAAACACCTACTGGATTGAAACTGCAGTGTTAAACACACATTATGTAATTGTTAGCAGTGGTTTGAAGAATACAAATTCCCAAGTATTCCTATTTCAAAAGTATACAATTGTCTGCCTCTCCCAAGACCCAGCTTTTTACTATGCAAACACCTCTATTGTAATCCCTGAATTTCCATAATCTGAGAGAGGTATAAAGCAGTTCAGTCCGTCTGATATCTGCAAATGAATGTCTGTAAAAAACATTGTGAAGGGCACAGATGTGCCAAGTATTAGTGTTTTCTCTCTTCCAAAAATATCTGGCACAAATTTTATTTACATTAGGATTGCTAAGAAGAGCTAATATTGCAGAGAATTTAATGAACAATGCAATTTTGGCAGCAGCCCTAATAATCTGGAAGCAAGTTACTTGGAAATATGCAAACTCTAATTAACAGGATGAAAACCAGGGCAAACAAAAGCTAGGATTAAAGCAGAACTAGCTAACTTTAGATAGGTTTTGATAAGATTTAGTTAATTTTTTAATGTACATACTATGCAGCACAAAAGCCATACTGTTCCTAGGGCTCTGCCCTTCTTAGGAATTTTAAACTGCCAACAATATAATCTAGGATGAAAACTTTAATTTCCACTTGAATTTGCTGTTCTTAGGGATTCTTAGAGATATCTTGTCCCTTTCCCACATGTCTTGTAAACTCAGATACCCTTATATGTTAAGTTGGAGCTAATGTCTCACCCTTGATCTGGCTGCCAAGAGGTATTATGGAAAATTTCTCATTATTAACGGGATCATATAAACTGACAGAGTCATAACTCAATTCAAGTTCTTTTCCACACTGGCATTGGACAGGCTGAGGTCCTACAAAATATGTTGTTCTCATATTCCTAACAGCAAAAGGAGGAGAATCACAGAATCACAGAATGGTCAGGGTTGGAAGGGACCTCTGGAGATCATCTAGTCCAACTCCCCTGCTAGAGCAGGGTCACCTACAGCAGGTTGCACAGGACAGCGTCCAGGTGGGTTTTGAACGTCTCCAGATTCGAAGACTCCACCACCTCTCTGGGCAGCCTGTGCCAGTGCTCTGCCACCCTCAAAGTAAAGAAGTTCCTCCTCATGTTTAGATGGAACTTCCTATGTTCAAGCTTGTGCCCATTGCCTCTTGTCCTATCACTGGGCACCACTGAAAAAAGACTGCTCCCATCTACCTGGCCATCCTCCTTTTAAGTATTTATAAGCATTGATAAGATCACCCTTCGGTCTTCTTTTTTTTCTAGACTAAAAAGACCTCAGCCTTTCCTCATAAGAAAGATGCTCCGGTCCCCTAATCATTTTTGTAGCCCTTTGCTGGACTCTCTCCAGCAGTTCCTTGTCCTACTTGAACTGGGGAGCCCAGAACTGGACACAATACTCCAGATGCGGCCTCACCAGGGCAGAGTAGAGGAGTAGGATGACTTCCCTCAACCTGCGGGCAACACCCTTCTTGATGCACCCCAGGATGCCATTCGCCTTCTTGGCCGCCAGGGCACATTGCTGGCTCATGGTCATCCTGTTGTCCACCAGGACTCCCAGGTCCCTCTCTACAGAGCTGCTCTCCAGG